AGTTTCTTTAATTTGTTACAACAAAAGGAAATACTAACGGTAACTTCTGACCAAAAAGAGGGGCAATTAAGAAAACTTTTTCTTAGCTATTCACATTTCCCAAATTTGAGCAAGTAGGCTATTGCTTTAAAAACAACAATCAAATCTTCACTTGGATTAAATGGATTCCTCCCGTCTGTTTCTTCTAATCACATCCTGTGCAAATTTCTGTACACTGTACTATTTTCTACCACTATTATGCATGTTTTTTTCTATTATGTTTTTTTCTTTTTCTTCTTTTCTTGAGTGTGAAGAATTTGTTCTCTTATCTGTGAAAAAAAGTTAACTATCAAATTCAAAATAAGTATAATCAATTAATTAACTTTTATTACTACTATTCATAAAATACTATCAAACTCAACTTGATCCACTACACCACTATAACTTATTTCTAAACTAATTTATATTTTTTACTAAACAAAAAGTAGGAAAGAAACATTTTTAATACTTAGCTTTTATCATTTGCAAGAATCTCCTTCACCTGAATAACTATCTAAGATCTGGTCTCCAGAATACAGTAATTTTATATTTCTTTTTATATATTAATAATTTTATATTTCCCACTCCGTGAGAACCTAAAACTCCAATAGCTTATGTATTGCATTTGAGTACACAGGTGCTACATATTGGATCACAATATGAGCATATTCTGAATTTTATTCTTAATATTTTTATACAGCTACTATTCTGACAGCCCAAAACTTCTAACGATTCAATTAGTATCTGACAACCCAAAACTTCTAACGATTCAATTAGTAATTATGATGAACTTAAGAGATTATAGACCACTCCCCACAACATATAATAAAGCAATGTATATCTATCATCTACCATTCACTGTTTTCCTAAACGTGAGCAAGCAGAGTACAAACAGTGTCTTCAATTAATTATTAAAAACAGCAAAATGCTGAGCAAACAAGAAGAAAAAAAACATTGGAGAAAACACAAGAAAACAGATAAATATGTACAGCTGAGCTGTACAGT